AAAAGAAAATGTATATTCCTCTAACTTCTTATCTTCAGAAGTCTTGGGAAGCTCAATGACAGAGTATCACTGGTTCTTTCCGCGATGCTTTGATTCAAATATGAGTCAGCACAAAGCATTACTTCTCTTTGTCTCCACTGAGAGCGAATGAGTCAGTTGAGCAAGTCAATTCCAGCAATCTGGAGACAAGATTTCCAAAACCTAGAGGGGAAAAAACAGAAAGGGTTAGCTACGGCCCGAAAGAGAGGGCTGGGTGCATGGTCACAGGGACCTTTTCCATGTAGCAGAGAAGGCATAACTTAACACAGTGCCAGCCTGTTAAACAAGCTTGTTGATTAAATAACGATTTCATTTATCCAATCAGCACACCTATTACATCACTAGAATTCCATCCAGTTAGGAAACTTAAAACATGGTGCTTTAATGGTTTAAATCCAAACTGTGCAGTTTCAGGATAGAAACTGTCCAATTCAGATAAATACATCTAAAATGTCACTGAACTGTACATCTGTATATTTATAAACAGCCTCTACAAATCTAGAGGCTATAAAAATAAGATGACAAAGAAAGGTAAAATTTTAAAAGCCAGAGCTTCAAACTGTCTTATATACAAAAGAGCAGATAAGAAACACACATGCCTGAAAGCACACTAGGGGATTACACACGTCGAACACACAAAATAGGGACCTTTCCTAAAATTCCCCTCAAGAAATACAGAACACCTCAAGATGGTGGTTCATCTTGGCCAAGGGAACCATGAGAAATTCTGGTTCACTGGATACTGTACACCCCAAACCACTGCCCAATCCCAATTTGCTTTTGACAACTCTCTACCTTCAACAAGCATCAGGGAAGGCTTCCTGTCCAATAAGGAAATACATACAACACTACTTTGTGAATGTACACGTTTAAAATAAGATCCTCAACAGAGCTGGTTCAACATGCCTTACTTAGTCTTGAAGTCAGAAATGGGTCCTTTCATTTGTATCCACCTTTCGCATGTGCACTGGCTGGTGGGGGAGGGGGGGGGATGTGACTGCATTTAGCTCTGAAGGCTGATTTAGAAGTCAATTTTCACTCTTGGAGAAGAATTAACCTCTAAAGCCAAAACCCTCCACCTTTACAGCAAGTATAGGAACCGTTTTTAAATAATCCCAACTACTTTAACTGAAGTCAGTTAATTCTACCCAAGAAAACAAAAGGGCATGCAAACTACTCCCACCACAGGCAGGCAACGTTAAAGAAAAAAAAAGAAGTTTACTTTCCTTCTCTCCACTTCCTCAAAGAGCAAGCTCAAAGACGAGGAAATATTTCTTCACACTCATCAAAGAGAAACTGTTCATATTCCTTGTTATCTTCATTTTGAAAAAAACTAAACTTTAAACTTTTCCAAATAAGACTATAGATCAAAGATCAGAGTAAAGAAAGAATGCACTGAAGTATTCTGTGTTAATTTCTTAGTCTTTTGTTTGCCATCACAATAGAGGGTCAACCCATGGGCTGACTACCAACTTGGAGGGATATCATAGAAGACTCCGGAAACCTGAATTCTAGTCCTGCCTGAGTCACAACCTTAAAGTGGTCACCACATTATCTCAACCGTATCTACTTAATGCTTTTAGTGGCAGAAAAGGTGATAAATTATAGATCACCTCATAGTTCCAAAATTCTATGGTTCTGGGGGACAGACCTCTATTTATGGACAGATATAGTCAAAAGAATACTTAATGACTATACTAATCAAAATATTAAATGATATTTGAATACATGACTGATCATTTAGGTTTCTATGCAGGCATTTATCATTCAACAAATATTTATTGACTGCCAGCATCCCGCGTACTATTTTAACTGAAGAAATTACCTGCACGTATTCTAGAAAAGCAGTTACCAAACCCTGACAACACTGTTTTCACTGGCCAACAGCTAAGTGAGAAAAAGAAAAACAACTCGAGGAGTTCATATTCATTTCAATTTGAATAAAGACTGCCCTCTATTTAAGCTCTTTTCTAGTTTTTGGTGCCAAAATAACCTTTTAAAAAAAAAAAACAAAGGATGCAATGGCACATAGTAGAGGTGTGTTGTTGTTTTTTTAATGTCCTAATTTGGCAAAAATCAAAGTTAGCCCCACCCCCCCCACAATGTCAAACCTCAAACATTATTAACTTTTCTTTTTTGAAGAAAATTCACTAGTCTGTGACATTTTTAAGTTTTGGGGAATTCCACTTTTCTAAAAATAATCTTTCCCCAAAAGACACAACCTACACCCAGTTTCTGGATTAGAAACATGAGGTGGGTTATCCCTGTGACTTCCCACCAGGCAAAGGCTGGAAAAGCAGCCTGGAAAGACAGTGTAGGTTCCATTTTTATCTCTGAAATGTTAAATATCTGGGTTAAGTTATCAGCCTAACAAAAGACCGAAAGGATTGGTAAAGGAAGAAAAGGCGCTTTCCTTTCTGCCTGGGGAGAGGGGAGAGTCGTGAACAGGGCGGAGGCCTGAAGATGAGGGAAGATGGCACAGGCCAGGGAGTCCTCCAGGGTGGCAGGGGGAAGACCACCTCCCAGGGAAAACTGAAGCTCTTCCTCCGGGGAGGCTTGTGAGATAGATTCTGATAGTCAGTAACTTGCCTAACTGTCCCAGGCACTAGACGACCCTGGGTCATTGAAATCCTTGCTACTCACCCACAAGACTGAAAACCATGGGTCACCACCCCTTTAAAGAGCCTAGAGCCTAGGAGCAGAGACCCCGTCGCCTTGTTCCCCCACCACCTCCAGTGCGCGCCTAGAAGGGGTCCCGGACAGAGTTGGGCCCTCAATAAACTCCTGGTGAATAAAAGAACAGCACTACATAGTACAGTCAGTATATGAATCTCTGGCCTAGGTCACCAACCACACCTGATATTGTTAACTTGAATGTTCATCACAACTTCCACACTGCCATCTCATTACCATTCTCCGAAATTTCAAGAGAGTAATAAAAAGAAAAATCATGTAACCATACCATAAAGTTGACCAGCACAAGCAACCATCACTTTGGTTTACAACCATCAACTCACAGACCCACTGAAACAAAAATGCGGGCCATGCTTGGGAAACCTAATAGCAAATGCCCCGACGCCTGCCTTAGAAATTATATGTAGACAAAACACTTCCTTAAATTATAAATCAGTATCTACGTCACTCAAAACCAATCTGCTAAACAAAAATATTTAGAGGGATTGTAATAATAAAGGCTTTCTAATAAATACAGAACTAAGGAGAAATAGACATTCTAACCTAATTACTGTTAACCAACCACCATTTCCAACTGAATGGGGTGAGTGCACACAGCCTTCCCAGACCTCCTCATGTGAAGCACACAGAAGCCACAGAACGATGACTATTGATAATGTCAATTGTCTCTCTTGACAAAGCACTGGAGGGGGGAGGGAGGAGGACATTCCCAACACTTACACTCTAAATGCTTTTAGTGGCAGAAAAGGGAGCATTCCAAACACACTAAGCTACTAAAAAGCACTTCGCAAAAATGGTTTTCAATGTTTAAAAACTTTTCCTAGAACCTTTACTCTCATAAATAGCACTTAACCCTCAGCCATATATATCCAAGGCACCAAAGGCAAGAAGTTCTTCAGTTTAACCTTACATTCTGAAAGAACACTAGGGTTTTATTTATATTGTGATTACCTTAATAGATTTTTTTTTAATTTACCACAACACCATCTTTCTAAAAAAAATAGGAACCCTATTGCTCTAACTGCTTGAAATAGAAGTCTGATGTTTTTTAGGTCATTTCTTCTGTTTTGTTTTGTTTTTTAAGATACTCAATGTGAGTAAAGCTACTGTGAATTCTGCCACTCCCTATAGATCTAGAAATCAGCAAATATTACACATTATACAGTGCTTAATGAAAAGCACAATAATTTAAGCGTAAGCACAACAAATCAGAAGTAAATGCCACCAGGCTGGTAATTGCTGTTTTTAACTTTAAATATTGTTCTTTATGTGTGGAAGCAACCAGACAGTTACCCTCTGAGACAGCACAGCTGTACTTCATAAGAGGTATCTTACATTTCTTGATGTGGACTACTCATTACCATAGTATGGAGCAGTAAGGTATTCATGGTCCTCAAAAACTGTCCAAAACACATAAAAATTCTATTTATAGCCACGCATTGTGAAGTAACCAGTAAATCTACTACCCCCCCTCCCAGTTAAGAGCCCAATAAAATGATTATTAAAACATACAACCTAAACAAACTGCTAGTCATTGACGAATTCATTTGAACCTTTAAACTGTAAAATTATCTCCAAGATCTGGTTAAGGAAACTTACAGCTCTTATAGAAGTTTCCCTTCCATATTTTACACATACTATTTTTTCTTAATCTGACTAGTGGAGATAACTCTATATAGTAATATACAGTAGTAATCAAAACCTGTAACTTAAAATCCTTCAGTACCATTTCAAGGAAATCACCAACGTCACACCCAGGAGTCAACCCCCAACTTTCCTAAAATAGTTGTGGAAAGATGTTTAAAAGTTAAGTGACAGAAAAAGATTAAAATACTCAAAGTTGATATTCAACATCCCAACCTAAACCATTCAAAACCAGATGACTGTTCAAAGGCAGAGTTTGGGAAGATTCTAATCTAAAGGATATAAGCTCATTTTCTTGAAATTGTATGCAAGTGCCCAGTTAGTTCTAAATAGGATTAGAAACCACAGTAGTACTATAAAATGTAATCACATTAGCATATTTGAATGTCATGATTAAAAACGCTGCCTCAGAGGAAAAAATAAAAAATAAAAAAACTCTGCCTGCTTCATTCCAAATCAATTAAGTCAGTTAAAGGATATTAATGTGAACTTAGAGCACCGTGTATTAGTTTTAGTTTCAGTATTATCAGTATTACAGATACTGTGGTCTGTAAACTGGCTTTGAAATTTTTTATCTTGTCCTGAAAGACAACTATAAGGAAAATGGATAAAAAAAAGAATTTTAATTAAGCAAGATTAAGCATTACTATCAATGAGTTCTTATTATGACTTAACCAGTACTACCTTAACATTTTGAAAAGATTTTAGAATATTGCTGTACCAAAGAGAGGGAGCGAGAACTAAAAAAGCAAATTGTTCTATCTTTACCTGTATTCTTTAACTCTCTACAAAGAAAATAGTGAATGCGTACAGGTACACACACATATATATATTTGTATATAAACAAATATACAAATAACTTTAAGCATTATACCATACCATACCACTACTCTACACCCCTACACCTCTTTTCCCACAAGGCCAAAGTGAGTGTTTTTAATTGTACCCAACTTAACTTCAGATTAAACATAAACATGGCAGTCAATGCCTTTTAAAGGCATGAGGTGGTTCTTTACAGACATATAAATACTGCCCTCCCTGTCTTTGTAGAGAGTAAATACTAAAGTTGTAAGTTGGCCCTTTTAAATCACCTGTTTGCTTTCAAAATTAAGGAAAAAAAAGTCTCTTTTCAATTAATACATATAGTCAGTGTTCAGTGGATTCATATATGAACAACACTTATCCACTGATTAAGAATGAAAATACTTCTGGTATAAGTGAACTGTTTTTGAAGTTATCCAGATTTGATATAGGTAGGAAAAAAACACACAAGTATTTATCCTAATGCTGATTCAAGAACAAAACATATCCGGGCTCTCAATCTCCAGGCCATATCACTATAAATTTTGAACGATTTTAAATTCAAAAGGCTTTCTGACACTAGAAAATAAGGAACACCTATACACAAAACACAAGAGCCCACAAAAAAGCCAGCATCTTTGGTAAAGCTTAAGAACACAGCCTAAGGAATTAAACTCATTCTCTCATACAACTTGCTCAGCTGTCTTTTCAGGTTTAGTAATTTTATTTCTCAACTTGATCATAAAATTACCAAACTGGCCCCAAATTTCCAGTAACTCAGCTTTGCTGTTACCCTGGGCAGGAAGTAATGGGGATGTGAAGAACAGGCAGCCAGCAAGTGTTCCAATGCCCTTTTTCGGGAGGGTCCCAATGTTAGGCATAAAGGGACAACTGGAGACAGCAGACGCTGGCAAGGGCTGCCCTTTTATTTATCTGGAAGATAGATTTATAACAAGAATTGAGCTTGCTTATCAGAGCTGCAGATTTTAAGAAAGGATGGTCCCTGTCCTCCCACTTCCTCAAAGTCAGATTCCTATCTGCCCTCACTCATGGTCTCGCTTCAAAATCCTTTGCCCCACATACCACTGCACATGTGCCTAACTGTAGTACTGGTTGCAGAAAAACAAGCCAAATCACCTTATTCTTAAGCCAGCATTTCAGTAAAGTTGTTCTGCTACACCCAAAATGAGGCCATTAAGGTATAATGATCAAGCTTCCCTCACCCAAATTTAAGAAATTTCCTGCTGTCTTTGTGTAATTCAGTCTCCCACGTGCATTTAAACTAGTCAACACCCCTCCCCCACATCTGGAGATGAGTAGACAAATCTTCTCTCTTCCTACTGCTCTGGGTTTAATTCACAGGTTGGGACCAAAACCTTCACTATTTAGAGCATTTCATATGATTGGGATTCCTTTAATGCCTGGACTGTAAATACCTTCCAGGTTTTTATTTTGTAACACCTCGGTAATGTGAAAACTATTCTAGCTATCCCAATTTAGTCATTTAATTTAAAGTCTCATTACATTTGTTTTATTCTATTGGCATGCTCATCAGTATATAGAACTGTCTCATGTTTTTATTCCTAAGGCTTGAAAATACCTAGCCACTAAAAAAGAAAGAAAGGAAGGAAGAAAGAAAGAAAGAAAATACCTAGCCACTGTTCATTCACCTATTAACCATTCTGCTACAGAATTTGATTGAAGTAGGAAATTAGGACTAAACCATTTAAGACAAGTCATACACAGCAACCTCAAAACCCATAACATACAAGCCATACTTGAACACCTTAAACTGAAATTTTTTTTGAGCAAGTGGAAACAAAGCTTCTTGTAAAACATAAGAGAAGGCCAATCACAGCCCTCAGAGTCAGATAAAAGCATATCTCTTTTTTATAAGTAGTACATTGTAGGCAGTCAAGAGTCATTAAAACTACTCCAAAGTCCTTATCAGCCAATATCACGTTCGTGACAATGGAGAGAAAAGAATGTAACTTTATAAAGTGGGAAAACACATCTTTCGGGACCCCTGAGGCTCTCACCAAGCAGCTCGGAATTAAGAGTGCTCTGGAGTTGGGAAAAGGCAACCCTGCTGTGGCAAGAACATGCCATTTCATCATAAATACTGTTACATGAGAGAAAAGTGATGAGCATTTATCTGAAATGAGATAAAGGGACTGTCCTTGCCAGGCCATTATATTCCTGAGTATTTCATCAGTTTGTAAGTGACTTGATTAAGTCTTATTTTCAGATTTCCTCTTTAAAAGGACGACTGGGCTGCTATTCCTCCCAGAAGTTCCACTGCCAAACATGGAGGCTTACTTACAAAGAGAATGCAAATCCACCTCCACCTTAAACCTTAAAAGTAAAGGCAGAGCCAAAACCTTCACTCCTCCTCCTTCCTCCCCTACTACCCAGAGAAGGGAGGGGGTTACGCTGTGATCTAAATAGATTCTTCAGGCTGAAGGGGGAAAATACTTTACAGGCTTTATTTCAGTGGTATATTAGTTCCCTTTTTTTTAAATTAAGAAGTGAAAGGGAATAATATGAACCCAAGACAACTGCTAAACTTCGATCTCACAAGTTATTTCTTTAAAAAAAAAAAAAGGCAAAAGTCAAACAGCAAAGTGTTAGAAGGTGTTAACATTAAAGGACTTAAAGAAGTGGGACACTAAAATATGTGTCCACCTAGAAAAGTCGTAATCTTCCCCCTACTTCCTCCTCCGGCATGCAAATCAATGTGCAGAGCTACAGGCTTCCTCCTCACACCAAATAACTAAAATTCCAAACGATCAGATTAGTAACCCTATTCTAACAAATGAGCCAAATAAATAATAAAATTGACTTCTGGGTTTTTAAAGAAGGCCCTGTCTCTAGAACCTAATACTTACATAACATTAAATATGGCAGCACTGGGGGGAAGGGGTGACTTCACCTAAAACACCAGGATTGAAAAACACAAACACACTACTACAGTCTTTGGAATACTGAACAAAACAGTATCTAAAATAAACATGACTTCTCAGAAAAAGCCATCTACCATTCAGGACACACCTTAAAAGTTCTCAGCACACATTAACTAAGCAAGCACAAACTAGTGGTTCGATTGTTCTATTTTTTCAGACAAAAAGCCATTACGTGATTGCTCTGCACTTGTCACTACAGACCCTAAACCTATTAGAAACCCTAGGTCTATTACTCATTCTCCACATATTATAAAATTGGGCGCTTTAAGTCTATGGGTATCAAGGCAGTCCATCTGCTCCACGGGAAAAGTACAGTAGAGAAGCGCTGATGAACTTCCTGACACACAGGAGGGAAGGGAAAGGGCCTCCCGAGACCCCTACCTACGGCCCGGCCGGCAGCTGCTGGGGCCCGGCCTTCCTTTTGTTGGGCTTAATCTCATGTCAACTCATTCAACCAACTCAAAAGCGATGAAGACGTAATTGCCTCAACCTGAACGGAATCAGACCGAGGCTCCTTAAAACATCCAGTGTAATGGCTGCAAACGACCTAGAAACCCAGGGAAGCGGCGAGGCTGCGGCGCGCACGGGGGTCGCCGGCCCGGGGCCCCGACCTGCCCGCAGGACCCCCCCAACCGCCATTTGCCTCGCACGCTCAGGAATGCTCACCGCTCCCAGCCCTGGAAGCTGCCTCGGAGATAAACTGAGGCCAGAAAGATTTCCCGGGGGAGCCACACACCGCAGCCTTCCACCCCGAAGCGACTCTCTTGCTCTTAGAGGGAAAAAGAAAAAAAAAAAAAGTTTCTGCGGCTCCAAATGGGAACAGGCTCCTGGGGTCCCGAGTGGCCACCGGTGGCTCTTTCCCGGCGGAGCAACTCCCCGCCCGCCCCCTTCGCCCAGATC